TTTTATTATATAGTTTGACTTAAAAAATATTTTTAAAATTTACAAATTAAATTCCTTTTATGTGAGTTGTCTAACATTTATATTATAATGTAATTTTTATTTATTCAAAAAATAAAAGTAATATATAAAATAAAAAAATCATATAAAATTAATTCCTTGTATCCCTCAAAATTGAGAATCAACTTTAGTCGTATGCCGATTAAAAAAGGAAAAATACATAAAGATCCTGAAAAGCAGCATGATTTCCTTGATAAAACAGAAATTATACCAGAAAATTTCTTCAAAATTTTTAGAATTAAAATCAAAATTTATACTTAATTGTGAGAAATTTAATATTCCATATTAATTTAATTGCTTTATTTCCGTTTCTGGTGATGTGAAGATTTGCCGGTGTGTTGTTATTGAGCTAGGAAAATTATTTATCTACAATATTTTTTACAATAAAAACTTACAATAGACATGACAATTCTTATATGTTCTTTTATGGTATGGTGATATAATTCTTATATGCTCTTTTATTGTAACGTGATATAAGTCTTATATGGTCTTTTAATTCGGGTGGGAGATATGATATCTATATGCTCGGTTAATGCCAATCAAACTGTAGGATTTACGGTAAATTTTCGTTGCAAAAATATCAAAGCAAATATTTGAGAACAGAATCAGTGAAACAGCATTAAAAGCAGCCCCAACTGCAAACCACCCTCACCTGTGCACCCATTGGTTCCCAATGGATACTCCTTTAAATTTTCAGCACAACTGTTCTTTTCAAAGCATTTATATGCCTTGCATCTCCTACCTGTTAACCGTGCTTGCATTTTTGGAATGCATCCATCTTTTCCCAAAAATTTTTTTATTTCTTTCCCCTTGTAGCAAGCACACCATCTTGATATTAGATCGGAATGAAAACAATGACGGAGGAAAATACTGCAGTGGCCAGAAAGAAACGGTCGTGTATTATTGTCGGTGGGGTTCTCCTCTGCCTCATTCCGCTCTTTCTTACAGCCTTGATCTTGGCACTGACTTTGTTTAAGGCCAAGGAACCAAGGATTCAGCTTCTGTCCGCTGCTGTTGATGGGGTGGCCCCTAGAATTTCTTTTCCAGTTATTAAGATCCAGCTAAACATCACCCTTGACCTGCAACTTCTAATCCAAAATCGAAACAGGGCGAGCTTTAGGCATGGCACAGGGAAGAGTTTGCTTCTGTATCGAGGCAAACAGGTCGGGGACATTGATATCTATCCAGGTTTGATCCCTGCCATGGGATCTACTAGGCTTGCCTGCCGGCTGACCCTGCAGGTGGACAAGATCGCATCCAATATAACAGCTCTGATTAAGGATGTTTTGGATGGTGAAGTTGACATGACGACTCAGACGAGGATTCCAGGTAGGGTGACCTTCTTGGGATTTATCAAGAAGCATGCTGTTGCAAAGTCAGAATGCCAGATTGCCATTGCTTTCCCCGCCTTTAAGGTCCGGAACCAGACATGCAAGACCAAGACAAAGCTGTGAGATTTACTTGATGTGAAATAGATCCTAAAATATCTTTTGTTTTCTTCATTTTGTTACCATTGGGATGTCATAATTTTAAGGGATAAAGGAGCTGAGTACTTCTCGTACATAATAATGCCTGCACAATTCCGCTTCTTGCTTCTTTATTTCGAATAGGTATACTCTCTAGAAATGCTATAGTTCCATGGTTTGTTAGGACTCTAATTTTCATCCTACTCTATAAAATGTCTGAATTTGAAGATAGGCACCATCTCTTTATACTTGAAACTCTAGGGGAAAACAATTTGACCTAAAAAGTAATGAACTAAAAAGCCAAGAAACATGTTTGGTTAATAAACCAGTGAAGTAACTCCTATTTATATGGTTGTACCAAAAAAGTGAACTTTCTTCAAAAAGAACATTTCATTGTTTCTTGCACAACCTTAGTGCCATCATTGACAACCATTATACTTATATCAATCAAGCACACCCAACAGATTGAGCTCTTAAGCAAAACCAGTCTTTTGTTCACAGTCTAAGCATAGTAATAATACCACTGTCAAGAGATGATCATTTGCAAAAGTCCAAAAACAAGTAATGTTAGACATTACTATACAACTTACTGATGCAACTACAAGCTTCGGTCTGACTGAACTTCTCTCAAGAGCCAAAAAGTTACAACTCAAAGGCATGGATGATGGATGCTAAGACTTCAAAAATAGCATGCCTTTGGTTAAGCAAGACCAGTTACCAGCAAAATGTCATATTTACTGCATATGGCCACTCAATTCTGTTATTGTTAGAATTCCAGCTTTCTGCACAACCCTAAGTCGATGTTCCTTGATTTTCCTGAGGATTTCATGGGAGCACCAGGGCAAGTTTCAGCGACTGCATTTGATATAGGAGCTGAAGGCGTCTTGCAAAAATCATAATTCCCTTCTACTTCCGCAATTTCAGCAAGAAGACCCTCAGCCTGGTTTGTAAAAACAGTTTCCAAGACAATTCCATACACAGATTCAAACATTTCTTCATCAGAAATAGATTCCACATCCATGCTAGGAGTCTCATTCCCATAATTTAACTTTTTGACTGGATAATCAAATTTCAGGCGCCGTGCAATGGTAGTCTTCATAACATCACTATGTTTCTTACACAGAGGAGCCAGCAGCATATCATCTGAGCCTGGAGCAAATGGATCAAAGATACCATCCTTAGGTGTTTTGGGGCTGGCATTATCAATAGAAGCAAATAGGTGTTGCTTAGCATGAGAATCAAGGCAAGGAACTTTCAAGAGTTTCTCAACTGCAGTGATTGGAGAGTTACAATCAAAGGGTAAGTCCCCAATCTCTCTGCCAGTATCAGGAGTGGGTGGCTGCAGCAGAACCTCCTTACTAACCTCCAGAGTGCAAACATCATCAGATTTTTCTGTTAATTTATCCGAAGAATCTCGACATCGGCTAGCACAACCTCCAGAATCCATACACTAAATCTTGTCTAATCTCAAAAATGGGAACTCAAATCTGCAAACCCTAGCCCCAATGTCCAGCCCCAACACCGCAAACCAAAACTGAGTACTTTAAATTAAGTCCCAAAAACAAGAACCCTGAAACCCAAACAGCCCAAATGTGGGACAAAGGAAAATAAACCCGGGATGAATTCTTTACACAATAAGCAAATAAAACCCAAAAAGATTACTCCTTTACCCAAATTATTACAAACACCGAAAAATGGTAAACTTCTCTGCTCTCAAAAAACTATAAAACCCCGCGAACCCATTACCGGAGAAGAAGAGGAGAAACTAAATTTCAGTTATGGAGTGGACGGGAGTAACTGTAAATCTTAAGAAGATAAATAATCCATTTTTGTTAAAGAACAATTCTTATTATGGAGAACAAACCAATGGGACTAAGGAGGAAGGATTCATATTGGTACCTGAAAGTTTGGAGAGAAGAGCAGCACACTGGCCGCCACCGAAACAGGGGAGAAGCTCGGCAGCGCTTTGGTTCTGTTGAGGGTAGCAAATAAGAGAGGGTGTTCAGTTCAATCTCAACGTCAGCCGTTAGATCATTTCATCAATAAATGACATGCTTCCACGTGGCAATATGTAATCAATTTACCGGTCAAATCCAGGGGATTATCATGTACTTCTGGACTTTACAACTTGATGAAGGGCTAAAAAGTTTGAGTTACATAAGTGATCCTTAATCTTCTAAGAATTGTCCTATTGGGGCTTAATCTTTTTGACTGATGTAATTGCTTCTTAAAATTCAATTCAAGTGGGTCCTTGAAGGGTCCTTGAGTCAGTTCTTTTACTGTCCATATCTAAAGCGAGTTGCCTAATATAATTTTAGAGATTTGGACCCAATTAATCCTTTCATCATCTAATTTACTTCTTTTAACAAAATTGTGTGATATGCAATTATACATGGATCACATCTTTATTTTTCCTTATATATGCTCATCTTCTTGGATGGATGGACTGTTGACAAGTTGAATAGTAATTTAATGAACAAAATTTGGCGCCAAGTCAACGATTTAAATGGTGGAGTAGTTATTCTTTTGTAGGAAAATCCGATGACATTAAAACTAATCACTTTTGGATCGCTGCTAACATGCATAAAGCTTCTCTTTGATTCCTCACGCTCCAAATCTCATAAGCCACAGCAGCAAATAAGACTTTGATCGTGATTGCAAGCTGCCTTCTACCACTAAGGTTTAGTTTGGCTTAATAGGTGGCTTAATTAGTAAAATAGTTTATTCTTCAACTTATTAACTAAGTTTCAATTTTATGAGGAGGCTAATGAAAAGATAATTATTTATAAATTTTTAAATCACAACATATATAACTTGCTTTTAATCAAAATCAAAAAGAATTAATCTCAATATATGTGCAAATTGAGCTAAAAATGCACTAAATTGCAAAATCTCACATAAGCACTACGCGTTCTAAATTGTTGTTTTTAGCTTGTTATGAATAAGCCATGAACAAAAAAAAAAAAAAAACAGAGCATGTCTAGGGAAAATTTTTGTGCATGAGACCAGATTATGTCATTCCACAATTTCACTATTCTTTCTCAGCCTCTTTCTATCACCCTATCCAGCCTTCTGCCCTGCATTAACGCGGTAATATCAGGGGTAAGTTCTCAGAAAGCTAGTTGGTATCTTCCATCCACCTTGTTCCCACCAAAGAGTCACCTTCTAGTCATCATGGCCCCACACATTCTCTAATCCTTTAGCATGCGACGACAGATTACAATGTCTTCCACAACTTCTACCCAATTATCATAAAACAAATAGGTTTGCCTATTAAATAGATGCATTAATTGTTATTTAGGTAGATTACATACATTTTTAACGAGTGAATGTACTTTTACTAGTGTTCTTACACTATGTCTTTTTAATTTTCTTTTTTTCTTTCTTTTTTTTTTTGTTTTTTTTGTATGGTTTACTTACTGAACTAACTGTGGAATGTAATCTCTTATTTAAGTAATTCACAAATGGGAGAAAGAGAAAATCAGATGTCATAACATTTAAAATATTAGGACGTCTAGTAATAATTATATGATAAAATCAATAAATTATAACTCATATTATATCTCACATATTTAATAATTGTGATTAGATATATTGGTATTTTTTAGATCACCATGAAAATCAAGATCATGCGCAAAGCCAAAATGCACCAACTATATGGAAAGTCAACACTCGATCGGATCATTATGTCTATGTGATGTAATTCTTTTATCCTCTATTGGGTTATAGTTTAAGACTTAGTGCATAATTGACTTTGGAATATAAATTGTTGATTCATTAAATAAAGGTTTTATATTTAGGTACCTTTATTATGCATAATAATTCATCTTTGCCTAATAGAGAGTTTTTATTTAATTTTCATTAAAATAGTGGGACAATAGTTGTAACCTAGGTATTTTAATAAAAATAAAAGATATTATATTTATAAATTAAATTTATTGTTCGATTAAGACTTAATTAAACTATTTGTTGTAAGTTAATTATTCTACTTAAAGACATATTACCTCCCAACAATCGCCTAATTTATTCTTGCAAGTAACCTATAGAAGGAGGTTATAAGACCAAGAACCTTATAAATAGGACATATTATTTTGTAAAATTGGATGTTTTTCCACATTCTTTCACTTTCTAAAATTATTATATTTATTAAATATTTTTGTGTAAAGAAAGATATTTTAAGTTAGGTAACTCTATAAATTATACAGATTTATAGAATGTTATTGTTAAGTTGTAGCATTGTAATGATCAAAAAACAAAAGTTGTAGCATTCTAAGAGCATCAAGCTGTATATATATTTCTTGCTATACTAATAAATTTACTTTTCGTGGAGGCTTGATTCACATTAAATAAATAAATTTTTTACACTTATTTTAATAATATTTTCTTAGTAGTATTTTTTCTTTAAGTTCGTTAATTATTATTTTTATTCCTAAGGTTGTGAGCAAGATACTGCAATGATATATAATGCATAGACGAAGAAAAATGTTTTTTTTTTTTTTTGTACTTTAGATGAACAAAATTGTTTTTTTTTAATAAATTACAATCAAACATATATACCATATTAAAAGAAAATAGAGAAAGAGATCACTGAGAACTCAAAGTTTTAACCCAAAAAATATTTCTACAAACAACCAAATAATAAATCACTTATCTATAAGTGAGCAACATGCAAAGAAAATTGTTTAGTAAGCAACAACGGACACTCTTTTATAATTGGAAAACGTGTCATATAAATGCTAGTATACGTCAATGTAAACTTTAATCATATAGATGAAATTTTTTTTTTTAAAAAAAAAAGAAAAACAAAATAAGAGAAGAGATTGTTAGTCTCCTTAAAATATGGTTCATGCGGGACGTAGTTAAGAGTTTGAATCATTTGAATTTTTGGGTTGGAATCCCGAGATAATTGGAAAGAGACTAAGGGAAAAATAATCAAGTGAACTGCCGCCAGATTGGATCTATCTACTTGGTAACATATCCGGTGACCATTTACGTACGACTCTTTTTTTTTTTAAAAAAAGGCATTCTTTGATTCAGGGACAAACATAGAAAGGGATTATATTTTTAAAATGAAAAATTATTATGTAATTTAGATGATAAAATATAAATTTTCAAATTTTTAAATAAAAATAAAATTTTAATATTGAAATTTTTATTATTTAAATTTTTTTATTTTATAATTTAATATAATTTAAATTATAAAACAATAAAATTTTACAGAAAAAAACCTGTCTGTACATTAATGTCTATGAGAAGTTGGAAACGAGAAAGAGGGTGAAAGAGTCCACGAAATGTCGTTGGTTGTACCAAATCCCATGTGAACTGCCGTTTAAGCAAATACCGTCCTCACCGCCAGAAAAACCATCTTCATTGACATATCCTGAGTTATCAAACAATACGTGCGGCTCTTAGAAATGGCAAAGAAAATGTTTAGAAACACTAGGTAATGCTTCGACCACCACCCCCACTACCCTTCCAAACGCGGATCTTCCCTCATTAAATACAGGATTATCCCATTTCACTTTTCGTCCCAATTTAATCACTTTCCCTATACCAAAATTCCCATTGCTTTTGCATTTTTCCGTGACAGTTTTGTTGCTGTTGCTCCGTAAAGAAGAAAATACAGGAGATTAATGGAAGTAGCAGAGGACGGGGGAAGAAGTGTCAGCCGGGTGGGATCGCCATCGTCTTCCTTTCGTTTACGATCTCCAAGCTTAAACTCCCTTCGTATGCACCGCATTTTCGACATATTTGACAGGAACGGCGATGGCATGATTACCGTAGATGACCTCAACCAGTCACTTTCCCTTCTGGGTTTAGAAATGGATCTCTCCGATCTAGACCTCACCGTTAAATCCTTCGTCAAGTCCGGAAACATGGGCCTCAAGTTCGATGATTTTGTGGAGTTGCATCAGTCGCTAGACGAGACCCTTTTGGGGTTTGACAGTGGGGAGGAGGTGGTGACTCAGAGCACATTAAAGATGTTGCAGGAGTCCGATTTGACAGAGGCGTTCAAGGTGTTCGACAAAGACGGAGACGGATTCATCTCAGCGCAGGAATTGCAGGTGGTGTTGGGGAAGCTTGGGTTTCCGGAAGGGAGGGAGATTAGTGAAGTTGAACAGATGATCAGCTCCGTAGACATCAATAAAGACGGTCGAGTGGATTTCTCTGAATTCAAAAACATGATGCAGAGCGTTCTCATTCACAGTTCTTGACATTCATTCTTCCTCTGTTTTTGCTCTGTTTCTCTTCTTTTTATTTTTGTCTTTTGTCTTTTGTTTTTTATTTGTTTTATTTTATTTTTAAATTTCTTACACCATTCCTGGCTTGATTTTATATTCCTAGGTCAATATATGCTTTATGATTTGGTTAAACTCCTAATTTAGTCTCTCAACTATTGTATAAATTTTTAAATTGATTTTTAAACTAAAAAAAAAAATTTTGATTTAGTCCTTAAAATTTAAAAATTTTAAGGTAAATCAAAAAATCTTAATTTGGTCCTAAGTTGTTCATTCTATATAAAAATAATTTTTTTATGAAAAATAAAGAAATATATTAAGTAATAAAAAATTACAATAGAATCTTTATCTCATGACATATAACTAAAATCAAAATAACTTAATGACAAAATCAGAAGTATAACCTATAGCACTAGTAATAGACTTAAGTTATGCCCATGACGGATATAGACAATTAAGTAAGGAGAGTCATCTGCAACTATGGATTAAATTTACAATCACTATATGGGTTAAATAGAGCTATTAATGTAGAAAGGAGAGTCACTATGAGCATTAAAAACTATTGGACATCCTTACCTATTTAATCAGTTTCATGGAGAGAGCAAGGGATTCCACCAACAAACAGTTTCCAACCCACAAGTTGCCGCCCTACTTGTTCTTAAAAAAGAACAACCAAGAAGGGTATGGGCCTTTTCTTAACAAGCACAAGGCCCTCTAGTTGCCTCCATATACTCCCAATCATGTTCCCATCTTTGTTGATCCTCTTTAAGCTCATGCTGTCGAAACTCATTAAAGGAACTAGAGCCCTTTTGTCGGCTTGAAAATCAAGCTTCCCACACAGATCATAGCCAGCCTTACCAACAACATCCTTTTCCTTCGACAATCGACTAGCTGATCGAGAACTAGTGTGAACTAGATTTGCTGAATTTGACCCCTGCCAAGATCCCATCAAAGGAGATGCACCAAAGCGAGATTCTTGCCCATTAAATAAGAGAAACCCACTTTACCGGCAACATCAATTCTAATCGCAACCTTCAAAAATCAACAGATGTAAACCTTAAAAAACCCAAAAAGCCACTATCTTGTGGTCCCTAAAAATAATTAACATATCTCATTACTAATGTAACACGTGCCTATTAAGTAATGGATATATCAGTTATTTTTTAATGGAATGACTAACTTGACACCAAATTTAGAAACTTTAGGGATCAAATCAAAAAATGATTTTGGTTTAGGGACCAACTTGATAGTCTATTCAATAATTGAAAGACCGGATTAGGGTTTAACCTTAT